GTCCCGTCACCGCCTCCGGGAGGGCAGTCCCGGGAGCTGCCTCCGCGCTGCCCGGCAGCATGCTTTCCCTCGGCAGACACGGTCCCGCGGTCCCCAGTGCGCTCGTCGCACGTGTGTGTGCCGCCTCGGGAGCTCTGTGCTCTGCTTATCCCCTGTCCCGCCTAACCAGGCGAAGGGCTGGCGCTCGGGAAGGGGAAGAGTGCCGATGGAAGGAGGCAGTGGCCTGGCTTCCAGTCTCCCGAAGCAGCCGTGGTTCTGGGATGAGGGAGAACCTTGTTGTGTCCCAGGGGGCTGTTGCTGCTTTCCTTTGTCTGCATTTGCTGTTGTCTTGTGTAAAATCCTACCTCGGTGAAATGGAAACAAATAATGATCCTGTTTGCTGTACTTCTTTACTCTGTGTCTTTCACCTTGCTGTGGTCTCTCTGGTTGTGCTGCTGCTCCTAGGTTGTAAGCTCTCTGGGCAGGGACAGTGTTCTACCGCGTCTGTGAAGTACTGTATGCATTGCCATGGTGTATAAAAACTATACCGTAATCACCATAAAATGCTTACTCTGGATCCCTTTCACTGTCTAAATTCCAATACTAGTTACATAAAAGTACAGTTGCTTCTGTCAGGATTCCTCTTAGTTTGCTTTTTCCTTTTCCCAGACTTTAAGGGTACTTGGATTTAATACTCATCAACACTGATCAAGTGATAAAGCTTCTTGTCTACTTTCACCATTCTAGTTTATCCATAAATGGGAGAAGGCAAAACCAGTGAACCCTATTTGACAGCTGTTTTGAGTGATCAGTGGTGGAAAAATCGCTGGCAAGTCACTGCAGCTGATGTGTGCTGTCCAGTCTAGGAAGATCTTGGTACCCAGCGCTCTCTGTAACATCTTGAAATACAACCTTGGCTCCCTTTGGGAGGTCTGGTCCTGTCAGTACAACACATTGTAATGCGTTATCTGTGTAATGTGCAGGACACATCAGCAACTGCATGTGCAAGTATGTTTTTTTTGTTTAAGGCGGAGGGGCTAAACACATTCTCCAAAAGTTCCTGCAGTGCTGCCTGCTGAGGGTCCTACCCTGCAGCCCAAGGGCCCCTTGGGCCCCGGTGTGCTTCCTTGCCCTGACGGCCTTGACACGATTCTGAGCTGCTGCCGTGCTGGGCTAACATTGCCACCTTTCTGGCAGCTAGCTGAAGCGAAGTGACTGTAGAGGGCACGGTGGGGTTGGAGTTCAGGAGGAAGTGTGAGTAAACAAATATTGTGCAATGCTCACCTGCCGAGGCAATTACATGTCTGTGATTGCGTTGGTATGCTCTGTAGCAGGCGCTTTTGCCTGTGGGCTTGGTTATTGTTATCTGCCTAGTTCTGAGCAGAGACCGAAACTCTGGGTTTCTGCAGTGTCCCACACCTTTCCTTTCATACCCTTGCTGGAAGAACAGAAACATCTTCCCAGATGCTGGAAGGGTCAAGTGTTCCTCAGTGCTGGCCTGCATCACACTGATTCCACAACTGGAACTATAGACAACTTAGCTAGTGCCTCCTAATTCTTGATCATTGTCAGCTCCTATCATCCTGCTCTTCTGAAATAGCCAGCACAATTTTATGGACAGGAAGGGGAGCAAGGGTGAATAAATCCAAAATAACTTGGCATGCAAACCAAACCAGAATTTTTACTTAAGAGGTGATAATACAAGGGAGCTACTGCTGGGGCTACTGTGGTGTTTGGTTAAAAAACACACTTCTGTATACAAGACTCTGCTACTGCAGCCCTAACTTTGGTATTGTGTAGGGTGTTTCCAAAGGCCTGAATAGAGTTAAGTAATTGAGGTAGATGGTAATTATTTAAAATGTTTTGTTTCCCCTCAGTTCATTGCCACTGTATTTAAGGCTGCCAGAGAGGAGCAATCTGCAGTGCTCTTTCAGAAACTTCCCCGGGGGGAAGAAGGGTGACTAAGAGAGGAAAAGCCTGGCTGCTTCTCTCCAGCTGGCAACATTAAATTATGATTAAGATGAGCCTTATTGTTTCAACAGACCTTTTTTTCAAATAACTGTTGTTATGAAGATGAAAAAGTACCAAAGGCTAAAACAGCCTGGCTGAGGCCTTACGGCTAGTCTGGGCATGGGCCATACTGAGGAAAATTGTTCAGGAGTTTCCGACTCTTAACCTGCGGTTCTCTGAACCACAGAAGTTGTTATTAATGAAGCACTAGGGCTATTTAACATAGTAGAAGGTTTTTTATTAATAAAGGCCTTTTGTTTAAATTATGTGTGTGTAAATGTTGATTTAAACTGTCTCTGAGGATTACAGATCAGCTATGACTAGTAGTATTAGCATGGCAGAAGGTGATACGTGTTTACAGAGGAGTGTATTTTATTTTTTATGCTCTCAGTCCTGATGTATGGGACCAGGCGCTGCACTCTTAGGAGAGATCTAGCTGAAAAGTGAGTATTTTGAATGCTGGCCTTAAGAACTCCCTGGTTGACAGCATTTAAAGCTCAGCATTCCTCATAGCTAGCTGTATCTAGGATAACAGGTATTTTTCAGGAGTTGGGTGCTGTTTTGTGTGTACTGGTTCAAACCCTGTGTTATTGTCAGAATGAACCTGTAGTGTTACAGCCGAGTGGGCCAAGCAAATCTGGGATCTTTCCTGCTGTAACATGGATTTTCTGTGTATTTCTTTCTAGTGTGGTTGCTGAGAAATGGCCAATGAGAATCACGGAAGCCCTGCGGAGGAAGCGTCTCTCATGAGTCACTCACCTGGCACCTCCAACCAGAACCAGCCCAGCTCCCCCAAACCTATGCGACTGGTACAGGACCTGCCAGGTACCAACTCTGGTTTTGGGAAGGCTGAGCACGGAGTTCTGCAGGGCCCACTGGCAGGGGAGAGAAGGTGAAGCGAGGCCGCTAAGAGAGGCTAGGAATGATGCATATTTCAGAGTGTGCTGTGGCAGTAATGGGGACCTGAAGGGCAGGGCTGTTATTCAGGTCTGCTCTTCTCCTGACTCTCTCACTGTCTTCTCAGATGAGCTGGTGCAGGCTGGCTGGGAGAAGTGCTGGAGCAAGCGTGAAAATCGCCCTTACTACTTCAATCGCTTCACTAACCAGTCTCTGTGGGAAATGCCTGTTCTGGGACAGCACGATGTCATTGTAAGTAAGCACTCATCTTGAGGGGCTGTGCCAATATCGGGATATTCTACAGGCGCAGATGCTGTGGTCTTGTGAACTTCAAATTGCACATGTGGGAGGGCCTTCTCTACCTTCAGAACTCCTTGCTGAGTCCAGTGTCTGGCTTGGTTCTGATGAAATATTCCTCCTTCAGGTGCACGCTCAGGTAGTGCTGTTCCGGGTGTAGTGCACTGCTCAAAGAACAGTCAACCTGGAGGAGTTGTGTTGCATTTTTCTCATATAAGTCTTAAAAAAAAAAGCATACGGACACAGGTCTAGAAGAGATTTTTTTATAGCTTTCTACAGGTGTGAGTATTGGTGTCCTTATGTCCATCCACGTGGGAGCCTGGGGCAGTGAAATGGGAAATTAAGAGTCCTTATTGCCTTTGTTTGGGACTCTGCAGTGCCAGCTGATGAACTAACTCATGCTATTGTTGTTTGGATACTTATAGTCAGACCCTCTGGGATTGAATGCGGCTCCAATGCCACTGGAAGGTGGGATGATAGATACCTCTGTGGAGAGCAAGCAAAGGAAGAGGAGATTCTCTGAAGAGGTTCCACCGAGCGGCAACAGTGTGAAAAAGCCCAAGGTGGGTCTGCTGCTGTGAAACAAATAGGCTTAAGGATGTTGTTCAAACTGAAACCTAGGGAGTGTGGAGCTTGGACCTATTGGTTTTTTTTTTGAACTGTGCAAGGTCAGGCCACCGTAGTAGAGCTCAAGCTGTGACAGCTGACACTCACAAAGTACAAAAGTGGAAACAGACTCAGGTCCTGTGAAGTTGCCATTTCTCTCTTACAGCCTGAGGTGGAGTATGGGAGTTGGGAGATAACAGATGATGACTGAGATACATGTTATCTTGCATGTCCATGTTAACTTATGCCAACAGCAGACAAAATGTGCTCGAGCAATTCATGGGGGTATCCTGAGAGGTGCAGAATTGTTAGGTGTACTGGGCTGCTTCCCCTTTACCTGTCTGTGGGGCAGTAATTCATCTTTTACACACCCAGGTGGACGTCCCAGGGAACCCAGCTGCTCAGCCAGTCCCCAGCTCTCCCAGTATTCCAGGAACCTCTGTTTTGAAGGCATGGTGTGTTTCACCCGAAGATAAACAACAGGCAGCTCTTCTACGACCAACTGAGTGAGTTGTCTCCATTTGTTCTTTTCTCAGTGGTAGATTAGAGACACCTGGTTTTCCAGACATCTTTGAAGAAGAACCTGAGGGATGTAAAACCCCCTTATATCTTTGCAAGGAGTCTTGATAGTTCAATTTCCTGGTTGGTGAAACAGCCCAAGGAAGCATCTTTAGAAGTAATATTTGATAATTAGTCGATGATCTGGCCATCCTGATGACATTTGCTTCTACTATAGAGTATATTGGGACCTGGACATTCAGACAAATGCAGTGATTAAGCAGAGAGCACCATCTGAAGTGCTTTCTCCACACCCTGAGGTGGAGCTGCTTCGATCCCAGCTCATTCTCAAGCTGCGGCAACATTATCGTGAGCTCTGCCAACAGCGAGAAGGTAAATTTCTGTTGGGTTCCCCTTACTTGTCTTCTAAGTCCTGCAGTACTGTGGGGTTCTTCCTTCTGGTTTATATCTGTCTTGTCCTTGTGATCTCTTTTTGTGATGGTTATACTCTGTGACGTTGTTGGTTGTGAACTCATTAGGCAGAACTCTGATGAAGTCCTTATCAGAGCTTCTCTTTATCGTATTGATTAGACCCTTTTTCTGTGCTTCTCCAGGGATTGACCCCCCAAGGGAGTCCTTTAATCGCTGGATGTTGGAGAGGAAGGTGGTTGATAAAGGGACAGATCCTCTTTTACCGAGTGACTGTGAGCCAGTAGTGTCTCCTTCCATGTTCAGAGAGATCATGAATGACATTCCCATCAGGTACTGTTCAAAGACAGGCCGTCTTGCTGGGATGTTTTTGTCTTGGGCTAGTCCAGTGATTTGCCTGCTGTAGTTCTGTGCTTTTGTGTTTTACTTTCGCTGATGAAATGGTAGGGTGCTGGTGATGTAAAGCTTGGGAACTGGACCTGGCCCTCCATGCCTTTGTGGCAGCTGTGGAACTGATGCATGTGAATTTATACTTACCTCAGGTTATCCAGAATCAAGTTCCGCGAGGAAGCCAAGAGACTGCTCTTCAAGTATGCCGAGGCTGCAAAACGGCTGATTGAATCCAGGTGAGAGTTCCTCTTACAGTGCTGTCACGTTCAGAAAAGAGAAAAAGGTTGTAGGGGCTTTAAGAAAGGGCTGCTGCATCCCACCTTATACAGCGTTGGTCATCATTTTACTGAGGAAAAGCAAGATTAGGAATGTACAGGAAAAAACCAACAGTGCTGGAGGTATCTTTTGACAGGAAAATCAAAATTTAATTTGATGTTTAATTTAATTAGTAAAATTTCATGTTGGGAAGCTGACTGTATGCAGAGACAAGTGAGAATCTGAAATACTGGACATGGAATGCCTTCTATCATATTTATCTCTGAGAAAAAAAAACACAAGAGTGCTTGGGCACTCACTGCTATTAAAGAGCAACAAGCTTAGAGTGGCATTTTATTATACCCCAGGACAGAATTGAGGAAGATAGTCTTATGGGGAAAATAAAAAGCTTGTTAACGGGGTAGTTTTCTCAGTCATGAGCTCCTAGCAGTGGCTGCATTTGGAAATGAGAGGCAAGATCAAAATGGACCATTTCCGTGATAGATAAATGCTTTATCTGCCTCTCCTGTTGCAGAGAGGACAGAAGACAGCTACACTGTTTTGGAGAGAGCATGGCAGTTCCTAGTCATACACATGTCTGGAAGCACTTTCCAGAGGAGGCCTGGAGGGGAGTGAAAGGGTAGGGCCTTGAGGAAGTGTCAGCAGCTGTGTTCCGCCGCTGACAGAAAACCATTGTGATGGGATGGAATATGTTGCCGTGCAGCTGTGGGTTAAACTTTGCTTCTCCGTTTTGTGCAGGAGTGCTTCTCCAGACAGCAGGAAGGTGGTGAAGTGGAACGTGGAGGACACCTTCAGCTGGCTGCGACGGGACCATTCTGCCTCTAAGGAGGACTACATGGTCAGTGTCCCTCTGCTCGTGCAGCTGAGCGCAGGGAGCCTAGGAAAGGATGGGGGGTGGGGGGAGGCGTGCTGGGGCCAGATAAAGGTCCTTCTGGTCCTTGGCTTTGTGAAACGGGAGTGACAGCAGCACGGAGACTCTCCAGACCTCTGGGGAGTCCAGTGGTGGGTTGTGTAAGGGACTCTTTGGTTCTCTGGTTCTGCAGGACCGCCTGGAGCACTTACGCAAACAATGTGGGCCCCACGTGTCTGCTGCAGCAAAGGACTCTGTTGAAGGCATCTGCAGTAAGATTTACTACATATCCCTTGAATACGTCAAGCGGATCCGGGAGAAGCATCTTGCCATCCTCAAAGAGAACAATATATCTGGTACGCAGTCAGCTCTGAAGACCTATAGGGCTATAGCGCTGCAACCTAGAGGCAATGTGCTCTGGCCTGTCCCCATTCAAATAGTGTTACCTGTTGGGAGAGCTGTTTGAGTCCACGGGATTGAATTTAATAGAGTCAGAAATAGCCAGTCCAGCATTGGTCTTAGCTGGCAGAGTCGCATAGTGTCTGTGCAGTAGCAAGGTGTCTTCCATCAGGTACTGTTACCAGTTGTAATATCAAACATCATAAATGTGTGATTTGTCAGGATTAAGTAACTTGTTAGGAGCTGACCATACCGAACAGGGCATTAGCTCATTTCCCTGGACTGTGCTTTTTTTGCTCTGCTTCATGAATTCCTGGGGACAGCCGACACTCCCCTTCCTAATGTCAAGCGCTCTCTCCTCCCTGTATTCTCCTCTGCCCCATTTCTTGGGTTCTAAGCACCCTCTGCACTCCTCTGCCTCCCAGTGCATCACTATGCACCCTTCTTCCTTTCCCAACAGAGGATTCATGTTCCTTGATCTTTTCCTTGTTTTCTTCCTAGTTTATGTCTGTACCTCTAGTCACCTTTTCCTTCTTCCATGGTCCCTGCTTCCTTTATCACCACCGTTCTGTAGTTCTTTTCCTTTTCGGGTCGTAGCTCTCCTCAGACTCCCTTCAGATCCCAGTATCTGCCTTTCACTGCTTGTTCCTGCTGCTTCTTTTCCCACCCAGTTGAATCTGTGATCCTTTCCGATTGATCTTTCCCATGAGCTCTCTTTTTTTCCTACTGAAACTGAGGCTAAGCTGCTGTCCCTGATGGATAACCACAAGGTGGCAGGAAGATTCCTTTGCCTCCTGCACTTGACAGCCTGGGAATATTTATTGTGCTTTGGATCAGCTTGGGACAACCTGAAATAATAACAGTAATGACAAGAAAAGTGTTTTACTCATCTGGAACATGCCTCACAATGCTGGAATGGTTGTGTACAGTCTACAGGTCTGCTGCGTTAGAGATAGAGAAATACTGTGAAATGAGTCCTCTCTATGCTCTGGCAGTGGGTGATGAAATTAATTTGGGTAATCAGACTGAACCTGGGTAACTGCCTACAAGATCTGTGAAGGACCACTACGGTGTTGTTGGGGTAGCCAGTCTGCTCTTTAGCCCTGTTCCTGTCGCTGCATGTTTTGAGGTGGAAGATCTGTCCCAACTATCCTTGGATTCTAATGGGCTGTTTTCTCTGTTCTCCCTAGCTGAGGTAGAAGCTCCTGAAGTCCAGGACAGGCTTGTATACTGTTACCCAGTGAGACTGGCCATCCCCTCCCCACCACTCCCCAGCGTGGAAATGCACATGGAAAACAATGTGGCATGTGTGCGGTACAAGGGGGAGATGGTGAAAGTGAGCCGCAACTACTTCAGCAAGCTGGTAAGGGCTGACTGCTGGTCCTGCATGACTTGTCACAAATTGCGCTTTGGTGAGAGGTTTCATTTCTCCTTGTCTTCCCAGAGGAGGGATGGAGTGCTGACATGGTGGAGGCTGTCAGACACTGCCCTAACAGTAGCAGAAACGAGGACAGCTACTTTCACCTTAGCCAGGGTCAGGCTTCTGCTGGCCATACTTACAAGGTGTTTCATGTATGCTGCGGATACATACTATGCTGCAAGAATGGTCGTACTCAGAGCAAGGCAGCCCTTGATGACAGGCACTTGCTGATGCAGTACATTCATTCATGCTAGTAAAGAGCTTGTGGTTCACTCAAATGATAAAAGCAGATGTACTGAAAAGCCTCCACGCAGGGCCCCACCTGCTCCTGTTGTTCATCAGTGTCCCTCTCCATGTCATGGCATGTTTGTGTACTGTCATGTCTTTGTTGATTCTGTTTGTGTGTAATGGCTGGGCTTTCTCTTCCAGTGGCTTCTCTATCGGTACAGTTGCATTGATGACTCTGGCTTTGAAAAGTTTCTGCCCAGGGTTTGGTGCCTTCTCCGTCGATACCAGGTACTGTGTCATCACAGTCATTGTACATCAGAAAGCCTTAGTAAGAGTGGGGAGCTGAACTTACTGTCTTTGCTATGGGGGAGGTCCACAGCTCTGGGATCCTGGTGCAAATTAGGGCTTAAACCGGGTCTGTCATCTGCTCCTGGTGTTTTCAGATAGGACTGCAGTCTGGGGAGCAATTGTGATCTTGATAGGAGATGTCAGGGTGGGTAAAGATAAATTTTTATGGAAGAAACCTTCTCCGCGGTTTCTGTGAGAAGAAACCTTGACTCTGAGGGCCAGCTAAAGGTTCGTGGGGGGTATATGTGAAAATTGATAGTTGGTTTGTGGGGCCTGAGCCGGATAAAATATCTAAAGAGCATTCTTGGGTACATGCAGGGGACCTACACGAATTTGAGAAAGGACGAGGGGGCCCTGCATACCTAGAGGAGTGGGTGCATGGACGTGTGGCCCCGGGTCCGTGGTCAGTGAAGGGAGCAGCAGGAACAGCGAGTGCAGGCACGGCTCACCAGGGTTTGCTCTCCTCAGATGATGTTCGGTGTGGGTCTATACGAAGGAACTGGTCTGCAGGGGGCACTTCCTGTGCACGTCTTTGAAGCTCTCCACAAACTCTTTGGAGTGAGTTTTGAATGCTTTGCATCGCCCCTGAATTGCTATTTTAAACAGTACTGTTCGGCCTTCTTGGATACAGACGGGTATTTTGGATCCAGGGGGTGAGTTTTTCGTTCCGGTGCCCTTGCTGTGTTTCTGTGTGGGTGCGTGCACGTGCGATGACTCAAGACAGGCTGACATGTCTGTGCGTTCAGGGTGGAAGCTGGTTGTGTGATGTCTGCTCAGAAGGATGTGTACTTTAGGCCTGCCTGAAGGCAATGAGTGGACACAGATTGGCTGTGAGACCGTCAGGAGTGTGCCGTTAGTGTAGTTAGAGGGCTCCAGTCCCTGGAGCAGTGCAGTTTATAGGTCTGCCAGCGCGCGCCCTTGTTCTGAAGAAAGGGAGACCTGGGCCCTCAAGCAGTCAGCTTGAATCAGCCGTCACCTTCCGTGACTGCAGAGGGAGTGTGTCCCCAGTGACCAGCGCTGCTGTTAGAAGTGGCGGGCCCTGTACTGCTGGGAATTCAGGCATTCTGACAATATGACTGCCTTTTCTGAGGAAACAGGTGATTTTTAAGGCGTGAAAATTGGAAGTCTAGCTCCTCTGACAGGGATTTTCCCTTTTTCCTCCAGCCCGTGCCTGGATTTCTTCCCTATAAGTGGCTCTTTTGAGGCAAATCCTCCGTTCTGTGAGGAGCTGATGGATGCCATGGTCTCTCACTTTGAGGTATGTTCCCTCACCCGTGGAGTTGTTCTGAACGGAGCTGCACAGTCAGTCCTCTTCCCATTGCTCCCGTACCCTCACAGCAGGGCTGTAATGCAGAAGGCAAAGGACAGCGACTGCTGTGGCACCACTCTAGGAGCAGGAAAGTTTCTTTTCAGCAGAACTCATTAGACATGTCATTGCTCAGCCAGTCCTGAGATTGTTCGTTTTCTTGTTGAACTAGAAACTGCTGGAGAACTCCAGTGAGCCTCTCTCCTTTATCGTCTTCATCCCTGAGTGGCGGGATCCTCCTACACCAGCCCTGACCCGCATGGAGCAGAGCAAGTTCAAGCGGCACCAGCTCATCCTGCCAGCCTTTGATCACGAATACCGCAGCGGGTCTCAGCACGTCTGCAAAAAGTAGGCCTTTTTCTAGAGTCCTTCTGGGAATGTGTTTCTGAAGCCGTATGACAGAAATATCCTATCCCAAGTTTAAATCAATGGGAAGTAGCGAGCAGGCAAGGAAAAACGTAGCGCATAATCACCCTGGACTTTTAAGATAGGCATACAGAGTGTTGTGAATTTTGCGTTTGTTGAATGACTACTGAGTTACTTCACTAACAAAAAGCTGACCCATCCAGTCTGAACGGGTCATGCATGTGGTGCTGTGGTGCTCGTCCCCACTTCTCTGCCAGCCCTCTGGTCTGGTGAGCCAGCTGAGCGGTGTTTACTGGGCTGCCAAATTCAGTGTCACTCGGGGAAGCGGAAGCAAGGGGCCGGTGGGATCTTGGTCGTCAGTGGAGCAAGCTGACCATTGGTCTGCTGTTTAAGCAACAAGTTCAAGCAACAACTTGCTTAAGCAACAAGTGCTTAAACACTAAATCCTCTGTACCTAGTTACAATTGATGCCTTACCATGGTGAGTCCCCTTCTTCAAGGACAGCAATGTCCCAGTGCACGTCCTGGTAGAGAGCTACATGGCTACATGGCTATGCAGCATCAGTGCTTCTCCTCTGAAAGTTCACGAGCCTCTACCTTTACTCAGAAATGCCTGACACTGCGCTCTGCCTGCTCTTTTCCTCAGAATAATGAGAAAAAAGGACAGAGACTTGTCCTAAACACGACATGCAGGAAGAGGAGGAGCAGGCGCTGGGAAGTGTATCTGGGTGGCAGTTGTGTGACTTCTGAGCAGGTGGGCCAGGGTAGATGCTGAGTGCCTGTGGTCTTCCCTTGCAGGGAGGAGATGTACTACAAGGCCGTGCACAACACAGCCGTCCTCTTCCTGCAGAACAGTGCGGGCTTCGCCAAGTGGGAGCCCACGCCGGAGCGGCTGCAGGAGCTTGTTGCAGCCTACAAGCATTCAGGCCGGACCCTCAGCTCCTCATCCTCTTCCTCGTCATCCTCCTCCTCTTCCTCCTCCACAGCAGACAAAGAGCGGGAGCTGGGCCGAGAGCAAAGCAGCAGCCGGGAGACCAATCCCAACTAAGGTGCAGAGGTGCAAGGCAGCAGGGGAGGTGCCGGCGGCCCCAAGGAGGCTTGCTGGGGCAGTGGAGAGACTGCTGGCTGCGCAGCACCGGCCTGGGGGACTCTACCGCAGCAGCTCCACGGCACCTGCTTTCCTCTGCGAACTGCATGCCGCCCCTGCCCAGGAGCGCCAGGGAGCACCCGGCCACCGGCGGGGAGAGGAGGTTCAGCTGCAGCCCTCGCCGGAGGGCAAGGGA